GTATGACAATTACAGACTTACCTATAGCCAGTTTATTCGATACACGCAAGTATGTTCTAATCCATAAATCTATATGGTTGTCTTAAATTGACAGTTAGAACATAACCTATAAATCTTCAGTGCGTTTTAGTATTGAATTAAAGATTATTGTCATTATATATAGATAAAAAAAAAAATTGTTTACTATTGAAAATGAAAAGATTTTTTTTTCAATTAAATAAAAAAAATAGAAAAAAGAATCGGCCCACTCCGGGATTAGTGGGGATAATTGGAGAATTGATTGAAGTTTTTTATGAGAAAAAAAAAAAAAAAAAAAATGGCGAACTTCGAAAATTTGATGGTTTTTCTCAAAAAACTGAAAAATTTCTTATAAGATGAACTTTAAAAATTTTGGTATATTTTTTTCCGAAAAGTATATTTAAAAACAAAAATTTTGAAAAAAAAACGGTCCCAAACGGTTAATTTTTGAAAAAGTTCTAGCAGTTCAAAAAAAAATGAGTCAGGTAAAAAAAATTGAAAAAATTCTGAGAAACGTCTTTTATAGGATAGAAAAGGAAGAAAAACTTTCAGGCATATCAAAAGGGGTCGGGTTAAAAAGTGGTCGATTTGGTATGGAATACCCCATATGTTTCTTTGTTTCAACGTAAAATGTTTCAATTTTTGGATTTTTCAATTCTTGGATTTGCAATTTTTCTCTTTTTCATCTTTTAGATATTTTATTTTTTCGTTGTTTCAAGTTTCGATTTTTTAATTTTTCAACTTTTCGTTTCTTCAGGTTTTCGGTTTGCAATTTTTCAATCTTCTGATTTTTTTTTCAACGTAAAATTTTTCAATTGTTGAATTTTTCAGTTCTTCGATTTGCAGTTTTTCGGGTTGAGCTTTTACCTACATATTTTAATTTTTCGCTGACTCAATTTTAGATTTTTCATTTCAGATTTTTGTTTTCTTTATTTTGTCAATTTCTCGTCTTTTAGTGCTCCGCCTTTGTAATTGTGTTTTGTTTCAACGTAAAATTTTTCAATTATTGGATTTTTCAATTCTTCGATTTGCAATTTTTCTAGTTTTCATTTTAAATTGTAACAATAATTATAATTTTCAAAGTTTTTCACCTTTTCAATTTTACGATTTTAGAATTTTTTCATTTTTCATTTATTCGATTTTATCAATTTTTCGGATTTTTAATTTTGAATTTCTCAATATGTATTTCATTTGTCAATGTTTCAGTCTTCGAATGTTACAGTTTTTCGATTTTACAGTTCCATATTCCATATTTTTCCGATTTTACAGTTTTTGGGTTTTCCAATTTTTTCATTCGATTCGTTTTATCTTTTTTAGTTTCTCGATTTTTAGTTTTTCAATGTATCAGTGTTTCGTTTGTTTGGTTCTTCGATTTGCAATTTATCCAATTTTTTCCACTTTTTATTTCTCGTTTTTTCAGTCATCCGATTTTTCAATTTTTTCCGTTTTTTTTTAATTTTTCGCTTTTTCAGTTTTACGAATTAAAAAATATGGAAAAATTGCAAAATTATAAAATTAAAAAATTAAAAAATTGGAAATCAAAAGCCTGAAGAAGAATTGAAGAAACGAAAAAAAAAATCGAAAGATTGAATATCGGGAAATTTAAAAATTGAAAAAATGAAGTATCTGTTGTAAAGAGAAAATATTGAAAATTAAGGAAATCGGAAAATCGGATAATTGAAGAATCCAAAAATTTCAAAATTGAAAAATTTCAAAATTGGAAAATGGAGGAATTGAAAATTTGAAAAATTGACTAAACGAGAAATTATGAAACCGAAAGAAACACGAAACAATAAAGGACATGAAAAAACGGAACATTGTAATATCAAAAATGGGAGAAAATGGGAAATAAAAATCAAGATCTGGAAACATTGAGGAAACGAAAAATTGAAAAATCGAAAAATTAAAAACTGGAAAACTGAGAACTCGAAAAACGAAAAATTGTAATATCGAAAAATTGCAAATCGAAATGTGAAGAAGTGAAAAATTGAAAAATTTGGAAATAGAGAAATTGAAAAATTGAAAAAATTTAAGTTGAAAAAACGAAAAATAATGAAACCGAAACATGAAAAATGGAAAAATTAGAATGCTAAAAAAACGAAAAAAAGAAAAATTGTGATATCAAAAAATTGTCCAGAATAAAATAGCCAAATGTTACACAATTTTGATTTTTTTTCCTAAAAATCTGGATGTCTAGGGTGGAAATTGAACGCGGATTTGACAACAATCGGTCTAATAGTAATTCGAACATATGGCAGCCAGTCGTCCGGACTCGATTACAAAATTTCCTTAGGTAAGCTACAGCCAGGAAGTAATAGTAATAATAACAACATTTATTTGTTGTATTAAATGGCAAAAAATTCTTGAAAATTTGTAACTAAATCCCGTTTGTAGCTTTAGGAAGCGCCGTCTAAATCACTACCCCGCACATTTTTTGCCCGAAATAACGCGTCGTTCCGCCGGCGGTACTCTCTTTTCATGGGCACTAATACCGGCTCGGTCCGATTTGTTTTAGGTCGTCGCTTCGCTCTTTATGACGTTTTTACAGCGGCCGCACTTGCCGTAAATTCCGCCATAACGCGCACTGCTCTTTATGAAACTATTGTTTTAGCCCGTGTTCGCCGACATCTTACAAATTGCCCCCGTAAAGTGGCCGTCCTTGTTTAAAAACGCGCTCCCACGTTCGGGAATAATTTCCACGAGTAACGAGTACAGTGCGAGTCGCGTTAAATGGCGCTCAAGTGACGTCACCGATCAATATGGCGTAGGAGTCCATTTGCATAGAGAGAACGAAATGCAAAACCAAACGTAACACAGGACCTAATTGGGTCGCTCGGATGACCATTAAGTCGCAATTCAGAAATTCCGCCGGCGAATAGTTTGCGTCGGATCAAAGGCTTTTTATCGGACGGTTTGTGCCCGAAATATTTTTAATTTTATTAAAAGGCCGCTAATGAAGTGGACTGCAGCAAAACGAAGCAAAGGCCGGCGCTGTTGAGGAGCATAGCTCCATATTTCTATTTATGACGACACGTTTCGAATTAATTAATGCCGCTTTCAGGGCGTCCGGGGGCCGCAAAAACGAAATTTCGAGCGCCTCTTTTGATCTCGGGGAGGTGTTCTCGCGGGCGCGTTAATCAACTTTGGCGGGGAAAGTCAGACAAACGTATCTCCTCCACAGACGCTAAGGGCACCCGTAAGAATCGATAGGAAGCAGCGTTCGCGGAAAAAACTAATTGCGGGCTTATCACGCACTGCACCTTAACAGTTTTGCGCGATTTTGAAAGAAGAAGGGGCGAACTATGTCTCTATAGACTTATTTTTTTAACAATTGCAGTGTTTCTTGTGGACTTGATCAAGTTGACCCTCGGCCGGCCGCTGCGACAACGCTAGCACCGTCCACGTCCTGCCCAGATTCGGTCGAACGCAGCAATTTGGAAAATTGTCGTATCGATTGGGTAATGGCAGCCCCACGCTGTATTATTGAAGTGTTGTGTGTAATTAAGGAGGGGGCTATTGAAACAATTTCTGGAGTACAAACGAGCCGTGACTGACATGTTGACCAAAAATAAATGACAGCTCGTTTGACCGGCGCTTCCGCGGCAATCAGGATGGCGCATTAACCTTCAAGACTTGTTTTCCGAACGAATTATTGATGGCGGCGTTTAGCCGTTATGGACTAGAAATTGTCTTCGCGGGGAGGGTAATGCCGACATAAATATGTTATGTGGACGAAGGGTTGCTTCGAGGACACGCAATGCCCACACCACCCGTCGAAAAAAAAATCGTTCTTTATTAAAGATCCACCGACGCCGCAGTTTGCGTCCGAACCGGCTTCCGTCAGGATTTTTTCTTCGACGAACAGATGGAAGTTTCGGTAATTACGATAAGAGTCCTAATTAATGTACATTTATTCGTCGCCCTCCGGCGCAACATATTTAAACAACAACAACAACAAGGGCAAAAAAGCCAACGCGATGTTTAAACAAAGGCGCTTCGTAATAATTCCAGAGAATAATTGTTTTTCCCGCCGGCGGGCTTCCACGTAGAGCCCTCGAAAAGGGCCAACAAGCCTAAACCCCGCCCGCTAGTGGAATAACGATGAATGATCACGTGTAGGCCGTAACGTTTTAATTAAATTATAAAAAACCGTCTGCCGTCCTCCCGGGCGAAGACGTCGGTTTCGAGCATAATGAAGTCGTCGGCGTCCCTGGCAACCCGATTTTATGAAACTCCCTCGTCCCATTTCGGCACTCTTAAACCAAATTCGTTTACGTGCTCGCGGAATCACTTTTGCAATACTGAAAATAGGCCCGTGGCGAAACCAAATCCAATTGAAAACTTTGTGTAAAAATTTGCTTCTCCCCTCGCTAGAGAGGGAAAAAATCCGACAAGATTCCGGCTGTTCGTGACCAGAATAAGGGCGCGAAATTCAACCCTCCGCGGCTTATTCATCATTCAAACAGGTTAATTGCGACAGAGATTTAATTTAAATGCATGGGGCTTGATTAACACTCGTATTAAAATCGTCCAAGTTAAATAAGGAAGACGCGACACGAGAAAAAGCTTCGACGCACCCCAGCATCCATAAAGTAGTATTTATTACCATATTTAAGATGTATTCTAAATATTAATTTGGCTTGTGAACGCCGTCTGATTTAATTGGAACGCAGGTACGCGACTGGAAATTAATTTCCAGATCGCATGCTCTGGAAAGTTTGCCAGAACGTCTCGCTCGCTGCGCGAGCTCCGCTAGCGCAGACCTGTTTTCGGGCCACTATATCGCGAGTCAATAGCTGAAACCGTAACAATATAAAAGTTCAGCAGTTCGAAAGTTGTGTGTCTGAAATGTTCCGGGCAATAAAAATAACGGCGATTGTTTAGACGAGAACTTTCCACACGTTCGCCGTACCAAATGGTCGCAGCCTCTTCCCCTGGTGTCCCCTACGTAATAAATACCTAATTCGATCATTTTGTTCCAGAGCGACAGCCTAGCAGAGTCTGAACCGGCACCTAAGGACATGACAGCTGTCAATGCGGTAAGTTTCCTTGATTAATATCCTCTGGAGGGTGCTCCCGTGGGGGCGAGAAGTTTGATTCGGTGACATTTGCACACGTGGGAGGATAATCCCGACAATGCCGCCTAAAACGAACGGAATGGAAATTCACCGAATCAACTCCAGGATGGCTAACGGCAGGAACAAAACTCCTCGAAGTACAAGTTGCAGGATAAATGGGCACGGCGCTATTGATTTGGCGTAACAAAAGTACGAAGAAAAGTCGGGCGATACTTACTGAGGTTAACATCTGTTTCTGAGTACGACTCGATCGTCGGGTTTGAGACTTCATGTGTCCAATTACCGAGTGGGGGCGCGATCGCAACAGATATGCCTTCTTCAGTGCTTTCGTGTAATTTGCTCTTTGATACTCCACTCTTGGCGTTGCTATACAATTACGTCCTGAAGAAGACTCACCTATCACAATTAACACGCCGTTTCGAGGCTATAAACAGGGATAATCTAGCAATTCGTTGTGTTTAGTGGAGGTCTGAATGAAAACAACAAACTCGAATTGCCCCATTATAAAATCAATCCGCTGGATTAAAAGGAAGAGGCGAGCGAGCGTCGAAAAGCGTTGCAGGCTTTTTACCAAAAAAGGGTTATTAGGGGTGGAGGGGGAACGGGGAGGGACGTGCGCTGTATTGTTTGAAGAATGCGAAATTTTAAGGAAAAAAAGAACTGGGTCAAAACTGTACGCTGCTCAGTTTTCGTGGTAGAACCAGAGGGATTAGAACGTTTAGGTACCTGATCCCAAACTTTATGGATTTCGTCTCTACAAGAACTAAACGTGGGTACTGCTTCCATAGAAGCTAGTTATTTGACAGACACTATCGAATAATTCTTTGTGGGTGTACTTGTTCACACTCATACCACTTTTACGTGAGTCGCTTCGGAGCACCAGACTGTGCTCGTTCCGGTGCCCGGCACCGTTTCAAGGTCCGGAAATTCCGGGCCCGCGGCGCCCATTTGCGCGTTCCTTGATCCAATACAAAAGCGTCTATATTTTATCCGACCCTCCTCGCACAAATGTGACAATTTATGAGCTTTTAACTTGTTCGGTCCTCTTCCGGAGCTCTCCACTTTTCCCGTTTCGCTCGCGATTAATCGAGGAATTAATTTAATTTAATTGAGCTTGTATCACAACGCCGTCCCTTCCCGACCGAATTACCGGTCTCCATTCAGCCGAGAGGAAAAAACCGGATGGATTTCTTTAATTTGATTAGTAATACATTTGGCGAAGTCGCCAGGATCGAGTCGAGCGCCAAAAAAATATATAACGTTCCATTTATTTTTCCCATTAAAAGAAAACAAACTTTCGTGGAGGGCGAGTAGCAACCAATCAGCTGCTTAAGAAGCAGTTTACGATGTTGACCGACTACACCATTATTCCCATTTTCTCGGCCATCTGAGACCATGCTTGCATCTGAGACTCGCACACCAGCTGCCGGAATCGATAACTGTGCTTATTTACCCTGATAGGAAACATACATCAGTGACGTCTCGCTGTGCGAGGTTGCTTTTTCTCGGGGTTTAAATTTTAATTTCGCGCAAAGACTGGCCATCCGCGGTCGGGGGCTTTCCGCTTGATTTTGGCACTCGAGTCGTCAGCGTCGGCATTTCTGCGGATCATGTCTGCGCCCTAATAATTAATAAGTAGCAAGTTGCCGAGCAAACTTGCAACAAATATCTCTTCAATTACCGTTCTTACATAGTGTGTAATCACAAACTGCTCTTAAGAGTTGCCGCCTACGCATTTAAGAGCTTCCGAATAATACATGAGCTCGGTTAATACAAGCTTTAAGCAGCTTTAAGGGAGGACTGCATTAGTACGGTGGGAGAGAACAGCTGTGCCTCCTATAAACATTGCCCTCTCTAGTTACCTAACTCGTGTACTTAGTTATTTGCATAATGCTCAGGGCTTTTTTAATTGTTTTTCCCTTTTCTCTCGACCCTTCCTTTCGTCAGCTGGCCATTCCGGCGCGAAATGCACATCTCCCCTTGAATTATGTCCGCATCGCTTCTAATTAGCGGCAAAAGGGAGATGACTTTGTCAGCGGCGGGAGCGGCGGGGCGCAAAAATTACAAAGAAAACGCGACCTTTGAACCCGGCCAAAAAATCCTTCGACCAAGATTATTATTGTTATTAAATACGGCAGACAACAGGTTTTGTTTTCATCCCAACAATAACCAACTAGTCTATTACTGCACACCCTAGATTCGGTTTGAATTTCCATTTCAAAGAATAATTTTCCAGATTACGGCTTTACCAGTTCAAAACGGTCGAAGATACCGACTTTCCGTTTATCCCACTGAATTCCTTGGAGTTTTTTAGTCCAAGAACTGATTTCTTGGGTCGGGAAAGTCAGCTTTTCGGGCCTGAGAGACCGATAAATTGGACGACCTCATTTTTTTTTTTTTGTAGAGTCATAGAAAAGATCAAAACAATTCAGGAAGATCCGTAGGTAAGTTCTGAATCCGAATTCATATTCAGGGGGTTCGATTTAGTAAAGAGACCAATTTTCATAAAGCTAAGTGCCTAATTAACGGAAAAAAATTGAAATGGTCCATGGTACAAAATAGGCTGAAAAATCAACCTTTTCAGATCTGTCCGAAATTGAGGTTCTAGCTTAACTGTTCATTATAGACTACATTTCTACCATCAATTGTTCAATGCTAATTTGATTTCAATCGAATTCGGATTGAATTTGTACCTCAAAATATGATTTTCGAGTTTATGAGTTCACCATTTCAAAATAGGTCAGGATACCGACTTCTCGTTTCTACCATTCGATTCCTTGGAGTTTTTTAGTCCAAAAACTAACTTATTAGGTTGGGAGATCAGTTTTTCGATTGAACGATCTTCTTTTTTTTATAGGTCGCGTCATAGAAAAAATTTAAAAAAATCGGGAAGATCTGTTGGTAAATTCTGAACTCGAATTCGTATTTAGAAGGTTCGATTTAGTAAAGAGACCAATTTTCAGAGAGTTGAGAGCATAATTAATCGAAAGAAATTGAAATAATCGAAATTCGAAATTTTCGCCATACAAGTGCGGTGCAAAATAGGCTGAAAATATCAAACTCTTCAGATCTGTCTGAAATTGAGTTTCTAGCTTAATTGTTCATTGAAAACTACATTTCTACCATCAGTTGTTCAATATTAATTTGATTTCAATCTAATTCGGTTTGAATTTTTGTCTCAAAATATGATTTTCGAGTTTAGGGGTTCACCATTTCAAAGTGGGTCAAGATAGCGACTTCTCGTTCATACCATTCGATTGGTTGGAGTTTTTTAGTTCAAGAACTCATCTCTTGGGTCAGAAAGTCAATTACTCGGGCCTGAGAGAGCGATAATTTGGACGATTTCATTTTTTCTATAGGTAGCGTCATAGAAAAAATTCAAAAAAATTCAGGAAGATCCGCAGGTAAATTCTGAAGCTAAATTCGTATTTAGGAGGTTCGATTTAGTAAAGTGACCAATTTTCATAAAGCTGAGTGCCTAATTAATCGAAAGAAATTGAAATGATCCAAATTCAAAATTTTTGCGATAGAAGGTATGGTATAAAATAGGCTGAAAAAATTAAACTCTTCAGATTTGTCTGAAATTGCGTTTCCAGCTTAACTGTTCATTGTAGACTACATTTCTGCCAAAAGTTGTTCAATATTATTTTGATTTCAATCAAATTCCGTTTGAATTTGTGTCTCAAAATATGATTTTCGAGTTTAGGGGTTCACCATTTCAAAGTGGGTCAAGATAGCGACTTCTCGTTCATACCATTCGATCGGTTGGAGTTTTTTAGTTCAAGAACTCATTTCTTGGGTCAGAAAGTCAATTACTCGGGCCTGAGAGAGCGATAATTTGGACGATTTCATTTTTTCTATAGGTAGCGTCATAGAAAAAAGTCAAAAAAATTCAGGAAGATCCGCAGGTAAATTCTGAAGCCAAATTCGTATTTAGGAGGTTCGATTTAGTAAAGAGACCAATTTTCAGAAAGCTGAGTGCCTAATTAATTGAAAGAAATTGAAATGATCCAAATTCAAAATTTTTGCGATAGAAGGTATGGTACCTATAAAATAGGCTGAAAAAATTAAAAACTCTTCAGATTTGTCTGAAATTGCGTTTCCAGCTTAACTGTTCATTGTAGACTACATTTCTGCCAAAAGTTGTTCAATAATATTTTGATTTCAATCAAATTCCGTTTGAATTTGTGTCTCAAAATATGATTTTCGAGTTTAGGGGTTCACCATTTCAAAATGGGTCAAGATAGCGACTTCTCGTTCATACCATTAAGTTCCTTGGTCTTTTAGTCCAAATTTTCACCTATGCATATGGTATGAGGAAAAATAATAATGTGAAAAAATAAAGATTTCTGATCTGTAATAATAATTATAGCACGTTTCAATAGAAGGCTAAGAATTTGTGTACATCAATAGGGGGTGTTGCCACATAGAGTACTTGATGGAAACGAGAAGAAAATTTTGGTATACCAGAAAAGAGGTGATTTAGTAGTTGATTTCATAGTTTCGGTAACATCGTTAATAAAAACAACTAAGAGAAGAACCCTAAAATAGACCCTTGAGTAACGCCCGAAGTTACAGCGATCTTATCGAATCCTTATCCATGATTCTTAACATATTGAAATCTTGTGAAATTAGTGAATTGAAAATAAAAATCTTTTTGAAATCGCTTAAACTCTGCTCGGCAAATTTAAAAATTCGAAGGTTTAGCTCTTTGTAGCACGATTTGTATTTGCGCCATAATTTCGACTTGAATTTGAGTTTTCTAATAATATCAAAGGTGAACCATGGAGCATACGAATTATTAAAGCTTCGACGAGTCCTAGGGAGCCAAAGATCGAGAGTACAATTGAATTGATTACAGGAAAGGTGACAAGTAGTGTTGAATAATAATCAAACTCCTTATGATTGTCAGTTGGTGTGCGATAATTCCGGGCAATCAATAGCCAGGAACGACAAGATGA